TTTCCCTGCAAAATATACACAAATAGATCCAATATATGATATTTCCCACATGTCTAACAACACTGTATTTTTTTATAGTTTTTGTCAATTTAACTGGTCCAGACATCAGATTAACTCATCCACAGCCTCCCAGTTTCCCTCAAAAGACTTTTAAAAAACCTCATGTCACATTGACCAAATATCTTTAGTCTGATTTTTTTTTTTTCAGTCTGATTAGCCAATTTAAGTGATAGGTTACACAGCACAGTTGGTAACTCAGGATTTCACACTTAAACTCGTTGAGAAATTTTGAGTGAATACCATCTGGTCCTGATGATTTCTTACTGTTCACTTTATGGATTTGTTCTGAAATACATTTTACTAGCTCTACAATTTCACCCCCCCCCCCCCCCCCCCCCCTTTTAAAAAAATTAAATACAATTTTAAAAAAACCCAAAGTTCCAATTTTGCAGAAAACATAGATGTCAAGAATTCACTTTTCTGCTTCAGGCCATCTTCTCACCCCTTTCTCTTTACATTCAATCATCTCTTGACCCTACGCTTTCTCTGGCAGGCTTCTTATCTCTGGCAGGCTTGGAAAAAAAAAATTTAGAATATTTTTATGTTATTAGCAAATGATTGACAGCTTTGTATTCTTTTACTTGCATATAAACATGAGAAGAATAATTTTCTTTACCTTGCTGTTAGGAGATTTCTGGCAGGGTTTTGGGGGTGGGGGGCGTTTTATCTTTCCAGTATAACTTTTGACAGGTGTTAGGCATTCATTGTGAGCCTCATACAGTTTCTTAAAACAAATGCCATGCCACTTACCAAATATTTAACCTTTTTGGTTGTGCCTTTTCATTTCGTTTTTAGTAAGCTTCCTCGACATTATGTAGATCCCCCTTCTATAAGACTAAATGCTGCTGGCGATGATCCATGTCACCACCCTGGAGAGGCCATCAGTTGTACAGCCCTGATACTGTGGTTTTCAAATTTAAGTCTGGAATATTAATTTAAAGAGATTCTGCATTAAAAAAATCTCAAACCCAGTGTATCACCACCTTCATGAAAGCAAGGCATTACATCTCCTCTTACCTGTATGAACTTCTAGCATTTGGGTGGAACTTGATAAGGTCATGGCGGGAGGAATGAACACCCAGCAACACGATACTGCTAAGCCCAACTTATCAAGCAGACCAAGCAAGCAAGAGTCCGTGGCTGAGAAACTTCTATGTTCATGCACATCACCTACCCCAACCCACCCAAATACCACCCTGGTGAGCAGGTGCAGAAGAGCTCAGGGGAGACTCAACTCTCCCTCTGACCAGTCTGTCTTGGGTTCTTCAGCAGCAGCTCAGCTCCAACACATAATGGTTCCTCCTTGGGCTCTCTTGGGCTCCTACATAACACCTTCCCAGGCTCAACTGTACTGACACACTAGACTGATAGTGGTGTATGTCTCACTTGATCACTCGCTTGGTCTGCTTACTGAACTGAGCTTATCAGTGTCACATTGTCTGGTGTTAGTTCCCCATCACCCTCCATGATACAAATCGGTGAAGAACACAGGCAAGCCCCAGAGTACTGCATACAGATAGCTTTTGGGACAGCACATGTGGAAGAACATGAGTTAACTGTGCTGCATGGTGTCACAAGAGCAACAGAAAGTGTCATTTTCCACATAGAAAGAAGCCACCCTCAAGGAGCCTCATCCAACCTCACTGCAATACACGGTTCGGGCCTGGAGAGGTGTGACTCAATCACTGTGACATCACACAGCACACATCAATACTATGGTAGGTCGATGTGCTTACAAATACTTGAAGCAATGCAGCTAGCAAAGGCTTCCTTTAGGGTGGCAAAAGAGCAGTATGTGGGCACACTACAGTGCCTGGCATCATGTTTGCGAGGTGGTGCAGATGAATGTGGTAGAAAATTACATGCAATCCCTGAAAATATTAGTCAAAAAAATAAACATTGGTAGATGCCTTTTTTTTGTTGTTTTACAGAATTTTCTGTATTCTGTAGATTTCCCTGAAAAATGAACTTAGCTGTCTCCGCAACTGGCAAGCCTATGGTGATAAAACAACACGCAAACACACTGGCTGTCCTTATAATCTTTATCTGGTTTATATTGCCATACTCTATCAAACTGGCCTGCACCTGGAGGGACTGTTCCTGTGGGTGAACCACAACTAGAGCCCAACAGAAATGCAAGAGCAGGTGTGGTAACAGCACAGCCCTCCCGCAGTTTTATTTCTAACATGTCTTGGGATGACAGACATAAGGCGTGTGTTGTACAGCCACTACACTCTGATCCACAGCATCCATAATGGATCGAGTGGTGCAATATGGCAATAACCCACACAGTCTGAGCAATGGGAGATGTGCCAGAAGCTCCCCAGCTAGTCTCTGCACGGATGAAACACTGCACTGTGTACAACTATCAATGAAAAGCTGCTTTCATAAGCCTTATGAGTATTAGGACCCACTAGCAAGTTAAGTGCTTGTCCTATACTAACTTAAATTGTAATTGTTTTGCACACAACAGGTGAATGCACACATGAAAGCTTAAACCATTTGTAGACTAATGATGTACAACGTAAATGAATGAATAATTGTGTGTGTGTTTACAAAACCCATACTTGCCAGCTGTCAGCAAGACCAACATGTGGAATGACACAAGACTATCACAGCTTCACTCTGGATAAGAGGCGAGTAAAGCAGAGAGGCTGAGTGTGATGAACCATAGCCAGGAGGACAAGGCAAACAAGAATTGAGTGCAATGAGCCTTGGTACAGGCCACAGATCAACAACAGACAGGGAAACTTAATCAGAAACTGCAGGAAAGGCATACCATGATACCATCATGGCCTGATGTGATGGACAGCACCTGGTGAGAAAGACCCTTGGGCAGATATCCAACCCCACATAGCTCATGCCAAGGTAGAGCTGTTAGGCTTTGCAGCTAAGCTAAAGCCCAAGAGCTTGACTTGGAGGTTGGTGAGGGGCATGTTGTGTCCCCCAGGCTCACCGTCACAGGCTCACGGGAGTGCTAAGTGTGGCAAGTCTCCATTGCTGTGTCAGTGAGTGTCAGCATGTAGCTCTCCCTGACACAGCTTATCCCTTGCTGGTCTACTTAATAAAACCATCTTAGCAATGTGATGTTGTTCAGTGGTCCTTCTTCCAACACATAACCTGCTTCCAGTCTAACACTGACTAGTTAGGGGTTTTTTTCCTTCTTCCTATTTAGGCTGTGCTGATTTCTGTTTCCTTTTATGTGAGGATATGGAGTGTTTGCCTCAGTATCTTCTGCACTTGTCATCTCCCCTCCAGTGCTTGCAGTAAAACCCCTCCATGACATTTTTTAATTTTAAATACCAAAGATTTATTTCCTTTTTCTTCGGACTGAGCCCACCCTTTGTGTATGGACACCATCTGTGAAAACTTCTGAATGCAGTTTAGGATTAACATGCTGTTATCAAGGTGAACTTTGCAATTAAGGAAGAACTCATGACAAACAGAACAGATAACAAAAAAGATTTCTATATCCTCCCTTGGGAGGCAGTCCTGAAGGGCAAAGGGGTCCAGGAAAGCTGGGCATTCTTCAAGAAGGAAGTCTTAAGGGAGCAGGAGCAGGCTGTCCCCATGCGCCATAAGACGAACCAGCAGGGAAGATGACCAGCCTGGCTGAACAGGGAGCTTTTGCTGGGACTCAGGGGAAAAAAGGAGAGTTTACCACCTTTGGAAGAGAAGGGGCAGGCAACTCAAGAACAGTATAAGGATCTTGTTAGGTCATGCAGGGAGGAAATTAGAAAAGTAA